GCGTGCAAATCAGTAAGTAAATCCATGTCAGAAGTGAGCAACAAGAAATGCAATTGTCTTCGGTTGGCTGCATGGCAACTGAATTGTAGCTACCCTGGGTATACCTGGCAACTGCCTTGTAGCTGCCCTGGGTCCGCGCGCGCGCCTAAATCACAGGCAGCCGGGAGCCCGCAAGGCGCGCGCGCGCGGAGCAGGGTAGGGAAATTGAAGTGGGATACCTGGCAACAGAATTGTAGCTACCCTGGGTCCGTATGAATGCTATGTTGTTATACCTCTTACACACCTATATAAGTTCAAGCAAAGGGAACCTGAAGTACTATACCTGGTAGCTGAATTGTAGTTACCCTGGGTATCTATACCTGCACCGGCTGAGTAAGAAGGGGGGTTCGGGGGGTGGCCTGATAAAACACACTCGAAAGTAAAAACGCCGGCTTTCGTTTTGCAGTTTCTCAGGTTGTTATGTTAGTTATGTTTGATCTTTGTATTTGACAATCCTTCATGCTTGATCACGCACACACGTACTTATATATATAATATATATATATATATTATATATATAGATAGATAGATATAACCCATATATATATGTATACACTTATGGTACCCCTTGGTACTTTGGATTTTGGGAAATGAAATGCTCTGCAGAACTACCAGGGGTGAAGGTACCAAACATCATTCCCTTGAGTACAGTCTTGTTTTCTATATCCAATTTGATTCGGGATGTCATTAACTATATATTTTCTATTTTACATATAGAGAGAAACAGACAGAGAGAGGGGGAGAGAGAGAGAGAGAGAGGGAGAGAGCGCCGGCAGTTGTGAGGATTTGCTATCACCAAATGATCACTTTTATGTGAATGTTACACCTCATTGTGACATGTTTATTTGCGTGTAGTCTTTGGCTTGCAGTAGAGCCCGTTATGGACAGTATATATATATATATGTGTGTGTGTGTATCTTCAGATCTGTAAATGCAGAGCGAGGCTGTGAAGGGTTGATTTGAGGGAAAAGACCAGTAGCGGCTGCTGGACGCTGCCATCGTCTTCGTCCCAGACGCTGCCTTCGTCTTCGCCTCTAGTTCTCTTGGTGTGCTTGGCACATGCGCCAGGCACGGACGCCTCAAGTTCCCAGACTTCCAAAAGTTCATTTTGAAGGTGGGCCGGGCGCGATCCAACGCGGACGAAGGAATTGCAGAAGCAATTGATGCTGTTTAGTACCAAGACGGCGATAGAGCAGCCGTTTAGTTGCACTTGTTTACTGTAATTACCGTGTTCAAAGTTTTGTATTGAGCTTTCGGTTTGAGGGGAAGTGACATGATATACTTCACTGACCAGTGCACAACGAACTTCGTGAAGAAACACTTTAAAAAGACCTTGTCGTTTGTGTTTTGAATGGGGACCGAAACTTCAAAAGCTTTCTGCACTGACAATCGTCCCATCCGTTTTAGGTGTTGATTCTATCAGGATGCCTTCAGTGGCATTGTTTAGTCATGGCTCACTTGGGTTGACCACCACGGCCGTGCGCCGTGGTGCAGATCATGCGACCTCCACCATCCTCCAATGAGCTCCTTGCGTTTTGGCGTGAGGCGTGGCCGAGTGGGATTTTTCTCCCTGCCACAAACATGGAAGCGGACAATCCCCTGTTTGTAGAGGAAATGGGCCTTTCCACAGGCCATTTTCCACCTCCATCATGGCGGGTAAACCAAACGAAACTGTATTGGTAGATGATTGTCGAGAGGTTGGACTGATGGACTCCAGCCTCCATCTGGCTGATGTAGCTCCTGCAGCTATTCAGCCCCTGCCTGCCAAAAAATTGATGTTTGAAGTCACGAGGAGGCAAAAAGGAGGATCACAGATTTACACAGAATAAACCATTTTCTATGATCTCAATGAATGTCGACCAATTACTGCTTCCAGGCCAGGCGCATAACAAGCAGAAGCCAATGCTTAATGACAAGGGACCAACATGGACCAAGTGATACTGGAGCGCAGAATGCCAAGGGCAGGGGAAACCACAAGGTGTGTGGTGCACGCAGTTAATGCAACAGCAGAGGCAATGAAAGATCACGAAAGGTAGCCTGGTAAGGACTACCTTGAGTTTGCTTTGCGAAGCAAAGGGATTGGCTTGAGAGCTTGCTCGGGACTAAAGATTGGTAGTTCAATGTCTAACACCCCCCCCCCTGAAATGTAGAGGTCTACTTGTACAGGTTCCACTCCAGTGGCCTATCTAGTGTGTCCATGCTTGACTGCCATAAGGCTCAAGACAAGAGGATAAGACTCTGCGCGTAAAAGACACTAGCGGTCTGCACCTCAACCGTGTACGCCCTAGTCACTCTTTCAGTGGCAGCGGAGCAGTGATCCTGGAAGACGCAGGTGAGCTCCTTTCCTAGGCATAGACTTGCTTGTAGGCAACCGGCCATGGATTGGATTGACGACTGGGAAGAGCCTGATGCGGATGTGGCTTATGAGCCAGCAGCCTATGTGAATAGGCATGTGAGAAGAGAACCAGCAGCTATAGCAATGACAACACAGGTCACTACAAAGGTGCCCCCATCTTATGATGGAAAGACTTCATGGTTTTCCTATGAGGATGCCATAGACGATTGGTGTGATATCACCGAGCTGGAGGATGAGAAGAGAGGACCAGCTTTGAGAAACAGATTAGAAGGAGAAGCAGCCGTATACAAACGTGTATTAGACAGAGATGCATTGAAGGCGAATGATCCACCAGGAGCTGGAGTAGAATACTTCAAACGAGTACTACGACCATATTTTGTGAAAGGATCCACCAATGTATTCCTGTATAGGTTTATGCAATTCGTACGCTTCAATCGCGGATCAGCCGACATGATGAAGTGGATGACAAGATTTCAGATTTTACTCCAAAGGCTTATGAGCAGTTGGATGGACATGTTGGATCCAGTAACACAAGTACACCCTCAGGTACAAGCACAGATGCAAGCTGATGCAGCGATGACTGGAGTAGCTCCAACAGCAGAAAGAATTGAAGAAATCATGCAGAATGTCAATGGCAGTATGAGAATTCTTCATCAGAACGATTTTCCTTTAGGAGAGAATCTCATTGCCTTACTCATGCTGTCACTTGCGGATTTGTCTCAGGACCAGAGGAACACTTTGACCTCTTTGATGACTCATCGTGGTAGAGTCCTGCAGCAATACACCACAACAGAGTTGAGGACAGTTTTCATTGAGATGTTCTGTACAACAAAGACTTCAGTAGACAATCCTCTGATGCAACCAACAGGTGCTGGAGGTAGAAGATCATTTCTCGTATTAGACGAAGGAGAACTCAATGGTACATATGGCTATTGGGCCGAAGATGAAGAAGATGGAACAGAAGGATTCCTTGATGCCCTGGACGATGTCTTTTGGGTATATGATGAACAGAATTTCTCTTGGTTCCAGAGGAGATTCCAAGGAAGAAGAGCCAGAAAAGGCAAAGGAAAAGGTAGAAGAAAAGGAAAAGGAAAAGGAAGATCAGAGCATTGGATCCGCAGGTTTTCAGAAGCCCGTGTAAAAGCAGATCCTGGTATCAAAGCACCTATTCCCAGAACATTTTACAGTTCATCTGCACATGTCCTCAAGCAGTGTGAAGCTTACTTTGAGAAACTCTGGGAGGAATACTCTACAGAAGACAAAGAAATATACCAGGGATCAAAGCTTGGCGATACATGTTTGTCTACCATTGTTGAATGGGGTCATTCAATGAGTGGAGAGGAATATGCAAATTCCACAGTGAGCACGAAGGAGTTCGTCTGTAAATTTTCAGAGAACTTTGCTTTGATTGACACGGAGGTTATGTGCTCCAGACCCTCTGACGATGACAGTCATGGTCCAATGTTTATTTCACTCAGACCAGCTTCCTTTTCATCTGGAGACAGAAGACTTTATCGCTCGGGCGAGACTCTTCGAGATGCTAACTTGCGGAGGAAGGAGAAACAAAAAGAGAATAAAAGGAAAGGAAGGCCGCCAACTTCTGATCAAGCAGCTCCATCGACTGCAGCGGCATAAAACTCAGAGCGGAGGCTAACTTTTAATGATAGCTAGGAAGTGAAGATACTTCTGATCACAGTTGATACTTTGCTTCCAGGCTTGACTTTAAGTTGCCAGGCTGAAGTTTTAATGAATCCTGGTTTGCAACAAGGAGAAACTTTTTATCAAAGAAGATACTCCTGCATTCCAGGTTTATACGCTTTAGCATGCAGATAAATACAGTTTACTAAACGGTTACTATCTGCAGGTAGGTATGGACAGTTTTTCAGAACTGATGATAACTACCATAGCCGCTCTTTTGAAGTGACCTCTAATGGACAACCATTTATGGTTGATGATTAAGTCATTTCATAAGTTTGCATTTGTAGTGCAAGTTTTGTACATACATTTGCCGGTGTCTCCTTCCTTTTTGTTTTTGATGTCAATGAGAAAGAGTCCTTTTGATGCAGTTTCATTTTTGTGTAAGTCCTGTGTATGGAAGCGGCCGAGACCACTTTTCGAGAAGAACATTCCTCGGACCGAGAGTTGACGCTCCTTGCATTTTGCAAGGCATCTTAATTCATTGCAGTTTGTGCGGTCTTGAAATTTTAGTTTTTCGTTACGCGAGTGTCGTTTACTGCTTTTACAGGTCTCTGTGCAAGAAAGCCGCTTTCCTTTGAATTTATAGTTTCTTTGAAGCTCTGGCTATTTAAGGGCTATTGAGCGCCGGTACATGGTATCTTCGCCGGTGAACGATACAGTCTCCAGCCGAGATACATTGTCTTTGACTTTGTATTTGAGGTGAGTCAGCTATTGCTCCCTCACTGTATTTAGTATACCTAGAGATTACCTTTTCTAAAGTGTGTAATACACTGGAATTGGTAAGTACAGGGCACCGTGGTTTCCTTTTAAGCTTACTAGAGCTTGCTGGACTGTTTTAGCCTTGCGGTAGAAAAATAGTGTGCGACATACGCAATAGGCAGGAGTGGACATGAATTTTGTGCCTGCTGAAATGTAGAGGTCTACTTGTACAGGTTCCACTCCAGTGGCCTATCTAGTGTGTCCATGCTTGACTGCCATAAGGCTCAAGACAAGAGGATAAGACTGCGCATAAAAGACACTAGCGGTCTGCACCTCAACCGTGTACGCCCTAGTCACTCTTTCACCCCCTCCCCCCGCCCCCTTCCCATGTGATGAACTAACTACTAGCATTCTGGACATAAGGTGAAGTCATGCGCTTAGCAGTCACAGCAGTACGACGCTGGCCATGAGGTTGCGCAATACAGCACGAACCCTGCGCAATGAGGTCGCGCAATGCGGCTTCGATGCCGCGCGTGCGCACCCGGCAGCCTGACACAGCGCGTGCTGCGTTCACAGACCGTATTGCTCGACACCAACGAGCATCGATGCAACGCAGCCTCTCTGCAAAGCCCTGTGGAGAAACCCCTCGCGTCGCGGAACACCATTCGACTCAGCCTTATACCCTAGCGTGGCGAAATCTCACCGCATCGCGGAGCACACCCACCATAGCGTGACGTCCATCCCTGGCAGTACCGGCCGCACCCCTCCAGCACTATCCTTACAAGGGTTGGTCACTGAGTCATGGCTTCGACGCAACGCGTGCAGGCCTGTAATCCTGACACAGTGCGTGCAGCTGTGGGACCATAGCTGGTATTGCGACTTTTACGCGCGCCTGTTTTCAAACACCTAGACACAAACGAGCGTCGACGCAACGCAGCCTCTCTGCAGAGCCGTGTGGCGCAATCTGACCACAACGGTGTCCCTCTTGAGCCTTCTTGTGCTCTCTGGCTTTGTTGGTTTCATCCATGATTGACCAAGGGGCACGTTCCTGAAACACCGGAGACAGTCCCTCACCAGAAAAGGTCCCGACAGCTACCCGGTCCGTCTCCACCTTTCGTGTTTCCCCGCTCATTGAGCTAGCAGCTAGCACTTGAAGTGCAGCAGTATAGGCGCATTGGTAATTGGACAAATGCCAGTAAGATTCGACATCGCAACGGTTTGCACAGCGATGCACTGCATACAATTTAACATGTATGCACCCTTATACATATATATATATAATCTGCTATAATGTCCCATATGCATTGACATCGCATGATCCCAGTTGAAGAGATTAATCTTTAGACACAACCGACATGAAAGAATCATCCGCCCTGCTTAGAGACAGCAAAGCAATTGGAAAAACATGTCATGAAAGGAAA